TGGCTGTATACCAGGATACATGTACCTGGTGGCTGTATACCAGGATACATGTACCTGGTGGCTGTATACCAGGATACATGTACCTGGTGGCTGTATACCAGGATACATGTACCTGGTGGCTGTATACCAGGATACATGTACCTGGTGGCTGTATACCAGGATACATGTACCTGGTGGCTGTATACCAGGATACATGTACCGGTTGTACTCAGCAGGAGTATAAACAAAATAAACACAGCACACGGGCACAGATACCACAGCCCAGTTGATCACGAATATAATGAATGGAGTTATCTACTGGATTCAGACCTGCTGGTAAATCCTCTTATAATGGTACTGGAAGGTCTGGAAGCCTAATGCTTAGGGAGTTATCTCCTGGTGTTGGCTTCTCGCAACACCTTACTGTCTCCCCAGCCCTCGTGAGGCGTTACTACTACACCTGCAGCTGGCCCAGGGTGTAGCTCTTGTACACCTGCAGCTGGCCCAGGGTGTAGCTCTTGTACACCTGCAGCTGGCCCAGGGTGTAGCTCTTGTACACCTGCAGCTGGCCCAGGGTGTAGCTCTTGTACACCTGCAGCTGGTCCAGGGTGTAGCTCTTGTACACCTGCAGCTGGCCCAGGGTGTAGCTCTTGTACACCTGCAGCTGGCCCAGGGTGTAGCTCTTGTACACCTGGAGCTGGCCCAGGGTGTAGCTCTTGTACACCTGCAGCTGGTCCAGGGTGTAGCTCTTGTACACCTGCAGCTGGCCCAGGGTGTAGCTCTTGTACACCTGCAGCTGGTCCAGGGTGTAGCTCTTGTACACCTGCAGCTGGTCCAGGGTGTAGCTCTTGTACACCTGCAGCTGGTCCAGGGTGTAGCTCTTGTACACCTGCAGCTGGTCCAGGGTGCAGCTCTTGTACACCTGCAGCTGGCCCAGGGTGTAGCTCTTGTACACCTGCAGCTGGCCCAGGGTGTAGCTCTTGTACACCTGCAGCTGGTCCAGGGTGTAGCTCTTGTACACCTGCAGCTGGCCCAGGGTGTAGCTCTTGTACACCTGCAGCTGGCCCAGGGTGTAGCTCTTGTACACCTGCAGCTGGCCCAGGGTGTAGCTCTTGTACACCTGCAGCTGGCCCAGGGTGTAGCTCTTGTACACCTGCAGCTGGTCCAGGGTGTAGCTCTTGTACACCTGCAGCTGGTCCAGGGTGTAGCTCTTGTACACCTGCAGCTGGTCCAGGGTGTAGCTCTTGTACACCTGCAGCTGGCCCAGGGTGTAGCTCTTGTACACCTGCAGCTGGTCCAGGGTGTAGCTCTTGTACACAGCTGTTGTATACGGCTGTTGTACGCGGCCCGGCCCTGGGAGATGTAGAGGATGTGGCACCCTGGCTGTCCTCCGGCCCTGGCAGAGGGTGAGGCACCCTGGCTGTCCTCCGGCCCTGGCAGAGGGTGTGGCACCCTGGCTGCCCTCCGGCCCTGGGAGAGGTGGAGGGTGTGGCACCCTGGCTGTCCTCCGGCCCTGGGAGAGGTGGAGGGTGTGGCACCCTGGCTGTCCTCCGGCCCTGGGAGAGGTGGAGGGTGTGGCACCCTGGCTGTCCTCCGGCCCTGGCAGAGGGTGTGGCACCCTGGCTGTCCTCCGGCCCTGGGAGATGGTGTGGCACCCTGGCTGTCCTCCGGCCCTGGGAGAGGTGGAGGGTGTGGCACCCTGGCTGCCCTCCGGCCCTGGGACAGGGTGTGGCACCCTAGCTGTCCTCCGGCCCTGGCAGAGGGTGTGGCACCCTGGCTGTCCTCCGGCCCTGGGAGAGGTGGAGGGTGTGGCACCCTGGCTGCCCTCCGGCCCTGGGAGAGGTGGAGGGTGTGGCACCCTAGCTGTCCTCCGGCCCTGGGAGAGGTGGAGGGTGTGGCACCCTGGCTGTCCTCCGGCCCTGGGAGAGGTGGAGGGTGTGGCACCCTGGCTGCCCTCCGGCCCTGGGAGAGGTGGAGGGTGTGGCACCCTGGCTGCCCTCCGGCCCTGGGTCAGGGTGTGGCACCCTAGCTGTCCTCCGGCCCTGGGAGAGGTGGAGGGTGTGGCACCCTGGCTGCCCTCCGGCCCTGGGAGAGGTGGAGGGTGTGGCACCCTAGCTGTCCTCCGGCCCTGTGAGAGGTGGAGGGTGTGGCACCCTGGCTGCCCTCCGGCCCGGGGAGAGGTGGAGGGTGTGGCACCCTGGCTGCCCTCCGGCCCGGGGAGAGGTGGAGGGTGTGGCACCCTGGCTGCCCTCCGGCCCTGGGACAGGGTGTGGCACCCTAGCTGTCCTCCGGCCCTGGGAGAGGTGGAGGGTGTGGCACCCTGGCTGCCCTCCGGCCTGGGGAGAGGTGGAGGGTGTGGCACCCTGGCTGTCCTCCGGCCCTGGGAGAGGTGGAGGGTGTGGCACCCTGGCTGTCCTCCGGCCCTGGGAGAGGTGGAGGGTGTGGCACCCTAGCTGTCCTCCGGCCCTGGGAGAGGTGGAGGGTGTGGCACCCTAGCTGTCCTCCGGCCCTGGCAGAGGGTGTGGCACCCTGGCTGGTGTTTGTCAAGGTATTGTGACCTGCGGGATTTTTATCTTCGTTTTCTTTTCTTTGTGACACATTTCCAAAGCGTTTTTGTCTTTGTCTTGGCGGAAATGAGGATGATCTGGGAGGTGGTAAATTTGGCGCAATTTGTCAAGCTTGACGGGAACAATACCGTCGTGCTGGAAGTGGCGGGAAAGTTTTGGAGCGATATTTTTTTAATGCTTTAGCGCGAAGCATTTTTTTAGGGTTTATTGCCGAGGATTTTTTTGTTGTCGTCCTATTATTTATTTTTTAGCGGTAGAGCTCGAGCGTGGAATGAATTTTTGCCAGATTTTATTTTTAAGTGCTGCTGAATTTAGACGGAAAAGTAAGAGTGCATACATTTTTGGCGGGAGAATTTGAGAGTGCGGATTTTTTTTTTAAGAAATCTCGAGAGTAAAATAAATTAACATGACTTTAAACCCTCTAGTGCGGACGGATGTTGACGGAAAACTTGTGTACATATCTCTTTTGGCGGGAAAACTTTGTTTACCTATTTGTTTTGGCGGGAAAACTTTGTTTACCTATTTGTTTTGGCGGGAAAACTTTGTTTACCTATTTGTTTTGGCGGGAAAACTTTGTTTACCTATTTGTTTTGGCGGGAAAACTTTGTTTACCTATTTGTTTTGGCGGGAAAACATGTGTTTCGGGCGGGAAATTTCTTTTTTGGGGGGATCCAGACGAAGTCATTGTGTCTGCGTCAGCGTAGAGAATTGTTGTAGGTGATCTGGAGGAAACTCGACCCCAGGTAATGACAACAACGCAGATAATGGCGGAAATGGAGATTAAAACGGAAACATCATCTGGCGTCTTGTGGTTGGTTAAGATTTTGCTAAACGACCATTGTTGTTGCTATAGCTTTTGTTGTTTGAATCTGAGCTTATCACGGGGAAAAGTTTACAGCTGTTGGGAAGGGAATTGACAAGAAAAGTAGTTTAAATAAAGTATAAAGTATTATTGTATAAAATATACAAGTGTATGGATGATTAAAATATATATTAAGTATTAAAAAGTGTATAAATGAATAAAATAGTGTACAAATAATATAATATAGATAACAGCGCTAATATTACAATAAATATTAAAATCTGTAATAGTAATGAAGGAAAATAAATACATTATTCAAAATTTTCTCATGGATCAAGTTATTGTGATCGCATTGTGCATTATCAACTATTTTGTAGTTTTGTGTAATTAAATGTTTCTTAAGGAAGATAGTAACTGGGGAGTGAAAGCTCATCATTATATGTACTCTGGTAGGCTTATAGTACATATGTAGCTACATATAAATCATTCAAGCCTGTGTTAAGTGTACTTACGTGTGTATTATTCAAGCCAGTGTTATGTGTACTTACATCAGAATGTTTCATTCAAGCCTGTGGTATGTGTACTTACATATGTATCATTCAAGCCTGTGGTATGTGTACTTACATATGTATCATTCAAGCCTGTGGTATGTGTACTTACATATGTATCATTCAAGCCTGTGGTATGTGTACTTGCATATGTATCATTCAAGCCTGTGGTATGTGTACTTACATATGTATCATTCAAGCCTGTGGTATGTGTACTTGCATATGTATCATTCAAGCCTGTGGTATGTGTACTTACATATGTATCATTCAAGCCTGTGGTATGTGTACTTACATATGTATCATCTAAACCTGTGTTATGTGTAATTTGTTTTTTTTTCTCTGATGTATTTTTGTATCTAAATGTATTAAATATTAATGATGCACGTTTATACATCATACGCCTGTGCTACTATTGTATACATGGATACACCGGCATGTATTATATCTAGTGTGCATGTATATCGAAGCTAAATTTTGTTTTTGTATGTTTATCATTGTATATATTCATTTACATATTAACATTCACCATGTATGTTAATACATGGATACCAGTCCCGATATGGTATATGAAAGTATGTATATGTATGCCATAGGTTTCATTCTTGATCATTATTTATGTATAAAAATGGGAGGGAATTCATAGGACCAGACCAAAGTGAGACAAGCTAATTTTATTAAAATAATAACAAATCAATACATACATATTTGCCTTTGTAAATTTTTATGTTCCTATTGTATAATGCTGAAGTGAATTTGATCATCTCTGTACTTCCTGTACTTTTGAGTGCTGTATTTAGGGCGAATGTCTGGGAATAGGTCGGTTTCTTTTTAGGTATTAATGATTATGCTTTTATTACTTGACATTAATGGATTGTGACATCTTTGTTTTCTGTTCTCTCTCTCTCTCTCTCTCTCTCTCTCTCTCTCTCTCTCTCTCTCTCTCTCTCTCTCTCTCTCTCTCTCTCTCTCTCTCTCTCTCTCTCTCTCTCTCTCTCTCTCTCTCTCTCTCCTACTCAAGAAATAGTACTAACCATCACACTATGCAAATGACTAATTATTGCTGTTATTCGCTTAGTTGAAGCTAACATGCGTTGTTGCCTCCAGCAGGGGATGCGTGAGGGCCCTGGGAAGCCTCCGCCAGACAAGGATGAAGCCCCTAACAAAACCTCGTCCAGGAACCGGCTGGAGGAGGTCTTGGCGTACCCTGGACCCTATCCTCAGGTGAGTCTAAGGGTGCCTCTCGTCTGCCGAGTGGTGCAGTCCTTCTCCTATCCCCGGTTGAGGATTGCTCTAGCCAACTCTGGTGTGGTTGAGGATAGTTTATCCACTCTGTGTTCCAAGGTTGAGATAATCGTGTCCCCACGCGTCTGTAGGCTTGTTTAAGGATAGTCATATTCCCTTACTATTCTCCTAGGTAAGGATAGAACTCGTAGTTCAGTACAGACCTCTCCCTAGAGTCTGTATAGAGGCTAGACATATTTTGGAGCTCCGTGTAGTTAGTCGTATTTAAAAGATAAAGCGTAATATTTAACGATGGTCCTACAGTTTAAGGATAGTCAAATACTTGGACGTGGTAGTCCTAATTGTAGGTTTATAAATCCTCAAACTCTAGAAATAGTCTTGGTGACGGATAGTTCCATCCACTTAAGGTTTCCAGCACACCCTCAAGTGTGTGGTCTCGGGACTGAGAGACTGAGAGACTGAGAGACTGAGAGACTGAGAGACTGAATGTCTGATGTCATGACAACCAGTCTCTTCTCTCCTGTGGTTTGTAGTGTTTGTTTTGGTCCGTGATGCCGAAGTCAAGGTCAGCTGTGCCTTAGTACTTTAGATGGTAGCCCAAGGTAGCCCAAGGTAGCCCAAGGTAGCCCAAGGTAGCCCAAGGTAGCCCAAGGTAGCCCAAGGTAGCCCAAGGTAGCCCAAGGCAGCCCAAGGCAGCCCAAGGTAGCCCAAGGTAGCCCAAGGTAGCCCAAGGCAGCCCAAGGCAGCCCAAGGTAGCCCAAGGTAGCCCAAGGTAGCCCAAGGCAGCCCAAGGTAGCCCAAGGTAGCCCAAGGCAACCCAAGGTAGCCCAAGGCAGCCCAAGGTAGCCCAAGGCAGCCCAAGGTAGCCCAAGGTAGCCCAAGGTAGCCCAAGGCAGCCCAAGGTAGCCCAAGGCAGCCCAAGGTAGCCCAAGGTAGCCCAAGGTAGCCCAAGGCAGCCCAAGGTAGCCCAAGGCAGCCCAAGGTAGCCCAAGGCAGCCCAAGGCAGCCCAAGGTAGCCCAAGGCAGCCCAAGGCAGCCCAAGGCAGCCCAAGGTAGCCCAAGGCAGCCCAAGGCAGCCCAAGGTAGCCCAAGGCAGCCCAAGGCAGCCCAAGGTAGCCCAAGGCAGCCCAAGGTAGCCCCCAAGGTAGCCCAAGGTAGCCCAAGGTAGCCCAAGGCAGCCCAAGGCAGCCCAAGGTAGCCCAAGGCAGCCCAAGGTAGCCCAAGGCAGCCCAAGGTAGCCCAAGGCAGCCCAAGGCAGCCCAAGGCAGCCCAAGGTAGCCCAAGGTAGCCCAAAGCAGCCCAAGGCAGCCCAAGGTAGCCCAAGGCAGCCCAAGGTAGCCCAAGGTAGCCCAAGGCAGCCCAAGGCAGCCCAAGGCAGCCCAAGGCAGCCCAAGGCAGCCCAAGGCAGCCCAAGGTAGCCCAAGGTAGCCCAAGGCAGCCCAAGGTAGCCCAAGGCAGCCCAAGGCAGCCCAAGGTAGCCCAAGGTAGCCCAAGGCAGCCCAAGGCAGCCCAAGGCAGCCCAAGGTAGCCCAAGGCAGCCCAACGCCGCCCAAGGCAGCCCAAGGTAGCCCAAGGCAGCCCAAGGTAGCCCAAGGTAGCCCAAGGCAGCCCAAGGTAGCCCAAGGCAGCCCAAGGCAGCCCAAGGCAGCCCAAGGCAGCCCAAGGCAGCCCAAGGTAGCCCAAGGCAGCCCAAGGTAGCCCAAGGTAGCCCAAGGCAGCCCAAGGTAGCCCAAGGCAGCCCAAGGTAGCCCAAGGTAGCCCAAGGCAGCCCAAGGCAGCCCAAGGTAGCCCAAGGCAGCCAAAGGTAGCCCAAGGTAGCCCACGGTAGCCCAAGGTAGCCCAAGGTAGCCCAAGGCAACCCAAGGTAGCGCAAGGTAGCCCAAGGCAGCCCAAGGTAGCCCAAGGCAGCCTAAGGCAGCCCAAGGTAGCCCAAGGCAGCCCAAGGCAGCCCAAGGTAGCCCAAGGCAGCCCAAGGTAGCCCAAGGCAGCCCAAGGTAGTCCAAGGCAGCCCAAGGCAGCCCAAGGTAGCCCAAGGCAACCCAAGGCAGCCCAAGGTAGCCAAGATAGTTGGGTAGATAAGGCCAAGGGAGGAGAGCGTGAGAGTAGTTTTAGTAGATTGCAGTTACTTGGCATTAAGCGAAATAGTCTTAAAATTTTGAGCTATTCTTGCTTTTCAACCCTGAATCTTTTCAGTTAATTTTGTAACTTGTTGATTTTGATATGTTCATGTTAATATACAAACATATGTCAGCATACATAAATACATGCTATAAACAAAGCCCAAAAGTATTCAACACCTCACAATATAAGACGACTGACCAATAGACACCTATGTGTTCACGAAGGAATTTGATAACAAAGGATAGGACTCCAGTTGTTATATCCGACGTAGGCACCGCTGATTGGGCAGCGGTGCCGACGTCGGACACCAACAGCCTGACTGAGCAGACCGTTAAGCAGAGGGCATTGATCCCTGGAACCAGCAGAAAACGGGCAGGTAGCAGAGCAGTCAGAGTAGTGTGAGAGCAGGTAACCGTATTTCACATTTGGCACACTACACAAAGGAAACTCACTCCCATTACTCTTCCATTGAGAGAAAGCCGTTTGATTGTTCAATTTGTACTGAATACAGGACGCACTGAATGCGTTAATGGTGAGAGAGAAGAGGGAGAGAAGAGTGAGGAGAGGAGAGAGAAGAGAGAGAGATGAGATAAGATAGAGAGAGACAGAGAGAGAGAGAGAGGGGGGGGGGGTAAGTATGTGATGAGAGTTAAGAAACACAGGCTACAGAGGTAGGGGTGAATGGTTGGTAGAGGGTGAGCAGCAGCAGCAGGAGGAGGAGGTGAGGCAGAGCTCGGCCCTCCACGGAACAAACAGGAGCAGGGAGCGTGCCTGGAGGTGGAGGCCGGAGGATGTGGTTGAGGGCCTCCACACGTGCTCACAGGCGCAGGCTCAAGCCAGGAAGGAATCAGGAAGAAGGAAGTACATTACGCCAAGGAGTACGGGGAGGTGGGGAGGTGGGGGGGGGGGAGGAGAGGAGGAGGAAGTCGCCACCAAGGAGACCAAAGGTAGGAGAACAGGGATAGACGAATGTTAAGGGGGATAGAGAGGGATGGAATGATGAATAGATTGTGATATTAAAGTGATGGAATCAACAATTCTTTTCCTCCTTATGGAACACATCGTCGCCGTAACTAACAGGCGGACTGGTAACTAACTCCCTCACGGCCAACAGTTATCAAACATTTATAGTTTTAAATTTTCAAAATTTTGCCCCGAGAGGTGAGTTTGTTGAGCAGCGGCACTCATCCTGTGAGTGGACACACCGTCATAGTGACAGTATTGGGCAGCGGCACTCATCCTGTGAGTGGACACACCGTCATAGTGACAGTATTGGGCAGCGGCACTCATCCTGTGAGTGGACACACCGTCATAGTGACAGTATTGGGCAGCGGCACTCATCCTGTGAGTGGACACACCGTCATAGTGACAGTATTGGGCAGCGGCACTCATCCTGTGAGTGAACACACCGTCATAGTGACAGTATTGGGCAGCGGCACTCATCCTGTGAGTGGACACACCGTCATAGTGACAGTATTGGGCAGCGTCACTCATCCTGTGAGTGGACACACCGCCATAGTGACAGTATTGGGCAGCGTCACTCATCCTGTGAGTGGACACACCGTCATAGTGACAGTATTGGGCAGCGGCACTCATCCTGTGAGTGAACACACCGTCATAGTGACAGTATTGGGCAGCGCCACTCATCCTGTGAGTGGACACACCGCCATAGTGACAGTATTGGGCAGCGGCACTCATCCTGTGAGTGGACACACCGTCATAGTGACAGTATTGGGCAGCGGCACTCATCCTGTGAGTGGGCACACCGTCATAGTGACAGTATTGGGCAGCGGCACTCATCCTGTGAGTGGACACACCGTCATAGAAGCATGTACAACACTCCCCAATAGGAAGAAAACCCGCTGGGTTGTTCATGTGTGGCATCCTGTCACATTTATAGTATGATCTTCCCAGACCTCTACACCTGGCCTGAATTATGGTGACTTGGTTAGTTTACCAGCTTGGAAACTTCACCACCCAAGGGTATTGTTGCTAGAGCATATAGACAACTTCGTAGCGCTCCTGACTAGTACACCGTTTCATAAATGTAAAGTAACCCACCGTCATGGAGATGTAAAGGTTTCGTAGGTGGGAGATTTGAGTGCTAGATAGCCCCTGGTCCAGCGTAAATTAATACAGCCTGTACTACTGGTAGGAACTACAGCAGTAGTATCTAGTTCAACCCGGCCTGTGTTCCCTCTCCTGCTCTCCCAATACTTGTCTATCTTGCTCTTCCATTTATCCCCCCCCCCTCTCCTTAATATCTCCCCTCCCCCACCCCCGCAAAAGCCTGGCCATATATTGTGTGTGTGTAAGTATGTATACTGTGTGTGTACTCACCTATTTGTGCTTATTTGTGCTTGCAGGATCGAGCATTGACTCTTGGATCCCGCCTTTCCAGCTATCGGTTGTTTACAGCAATGACTGTGTGTGTATGTATATATATATATATATATGTCGTACCTAGTAGTCAGAACGCACTTGTCAGCCTACTATGCAAGGCCCGATTTGCCCAATAAGCCAAGTTTTCATGAATTAATGTTTTTTCGTCTACCTAACCTAACCTAACCTAGCTTTTTTGGCTACCTAACCTAACCTTACCTATAAATATAGGTTAGGTTAGGTTAGGTAGGGTTGGTTAGGTTCGGTCATATATCTACGTTAATTTTAACTCCAATAAAAAAAAATTGACCTCATACATAGAGAAAAGGGTTGCTTTATCATTTCATAAGAAAAAAATTATAGTAAATATATTAATTCAGGAAAACTTGGCTTATTAGGCAAATCGGGCCTTGAATAGTAGGCTGAGAAGTGAGTTCTGGCTACATATATATATATATATATATATATATATATAT